TACACATACATGAAACTTCACTATCATGGGGAAGTAATTTCAACATTACACATACATGAAAACTTCACTATCATGGGGAAATAATTTCAACATTACACATACATGAAACTTCACTATCATGGGGAAGTAATTTCAACATTACACATACATGAAAACTTCACTATCATGGGGAAATAATTTCAACATTAAACATACATGAAACTTCACTATCACGGGGAAATAATTTCAACATTACACATACATGACATACATGCAAACTTCACTATCATGGGGAAGTAATTTCTACATTAAACATACATGAACACTTCACTATCATGGGGAAATAATTTCAACATTACACATACATGCAAACTTCACTATCATGGGGAAATAATTTCAACATTGTACTTCAAGCTTCTTCTGGGCTACGTAAAATACTTGTTCAGTGTCAGCTGAGAACCAACACCATAAAAGAATTTTCCTAACATTTTGTATGAAAATCATATTTCCTAAAATACAATGTTGGATATACAAGACTGTTTAGTATAAGAGTTATTATTTATTTCATTTAGTGATCTAATATTTAATGATTATTCACAACAAAAGTGTTAAAATTTGATTATTTTAAACGCAATTGTTGTGACAAGTTTCATTATGTAGCTCTGTACAAGTCGTACGTTATGTGTGTAGTCTAGTTGTTGTACTAGGCTTTTATAATATTGTTGACATCACTTTACTCGAAGCTTCTAGGTGTTTCTCGTTTTGTGTAATATTGTTGTCACTAAAAGGCTAGATATTTCTAGATTTGTCTATCATGTGTTATAAATATGTGCAGAAAAAGAAAGCTCATTGTGTATCAGCTCAACCAGTTCTATTTAGTGATGTTAGATTTTTATAACTTCTAGAAGTAGCATTAGAATATTGCTGAAGTGTCATTGACTGTAATAAGTACATTGTATTACATTTTTAGATATTTTTATACAAAGCAAACACAGAAGCATAACAAATTTAGATTTATATTCAACATAATTTTACCTTTGGTTGTATGTTAGGTTTTGTATATGGGGGGGGGGGGCAGATTCTTTTACAGTAGATGTCTGTGACTTGTTGGCGATAAATGTCAACAATAAACAGACAGCACACAATCCACTTGTTTTAAAATAATATATTCAAAACAAATCAAATGTATTTATAAAAATTTGTTTCACTACTGAGTATCAAAGTTGTATCTAAAGCTTTAAATAATTCTCTTTTCTTGTCAAAAGTCCACACAGACTAGTTCAGTTGTTTTATAAGTCAGTTGACAAGAACAGTTATTTTTCTCTACTTTGGTTCTTACTGTATAATCTGCATTGTTACCACAGTTGTATCCAGAACTTCAGATTATTGTCACTTTAGAACACCCTTTGACCAGACAAAGTATTCTCCTTATCTCTATTATTAAAATGTGAAACTCACTTTAAATATCGTCCGTTATAGCTAAACTAACTTAAAGTTTTCTGACTGAACTTCTTTACAAACTTGTTTAGAAATTTCTCATCACGGCTAAACTGCCAATCACTCAGTTTAGACGAGTCTAATTATCTCTCACTTAACTTCCCTTGTCATCTTATCAGTCTCCACCTTTACAAGGTTAATAAAGGTGAGTGGATTCCCACTAATCATAAAACTGAGAAGTTGATGAACCCTGTTTATAGAAGTAAGGAAAAACAAAGACAATTGTACGTTTCACAAATACTTCATTTATTAACAACCATGGTTTTGTCAGTAAAGGCATCATTAAATGGTTTGTAAAGAGGTTTATATAAGTTTAACCAGAAGTAACCTTGACAATAACCTGACTGAAATGGTTTGTAAAGAGGTTTATATAAGTTTAACCAGAAGTAACCTTGACAATAACCTGACTGAAATGGTTTGTAAAGAGGTTTATATAAGTTTAACCAGAAGTAACCTTGACAATAACCTGACTGAAATGGTTTGTAAAGAGGTTTATATAAGTTTAACCAGAA